TAGAATGAATGTAAACGCATGTTTATGCGCGCGTGTAGTCAGCTGGTCGTCGCGACGATCCCGCGTACCGCCTGCCGGCGGACAGTAAGTTGCGCCGCCTCTGTCTACCATTCGTACGCGGCCCGTAATTTGCTAAATATTTCTCGTTATAATTTGAAAACTAAGCTTCGGACAAAATTTTTATAAAGGAAAAATCGTCTTAGAATTGAGTCAAGAATACGTCTTTACAGGAACACCGGAGTTATTCCGAATCACCCTGTATATATATAATTATTATATTAGATAGGATAATTGTATCGTTTTTTTTTTAGCAAATTGTTGAATCACATATTTCAATTAAAACTAATATATTTTAAAAACCGGGACACATGTATCATACTTGTAATATTTTAGAAATAATCTTCAATATATATAGTCTGTAAATTAAATTACTGTTGTAAGTGGAAAATATTCATATTAAATTATATGTAGATAGCGGGAAAATCTTGTTAATGGTGAATCCTAATTTATAAATCTTGAAAAGTTGCTTTTAAAATAAAAATTAAATTTACAAACAAAATATTTTTACGTGATAATATTTAAATTATAAGTACCTTTATTTTCTTCTTTTCTTTGTTTTGCATCAATAAAATATATGTTATTTTATATTTTACAATTGTACAGTTCGTCATTTACAAAATAGTTTCTGATAAATTTGCTCATATAGTATATTTATTGTAAAAAATATAGAAGATTAAAATCTGAAAAAAGTCAACAATGTCAATAATTTTAATACAAATTTCAATTTGTACAAAATTAGAGTACAAAATGTAAGTCTTACAGGAACTTGTTATATAACAATGTATCACGGAGTCAATATAAAAAATTTCTCAATTTCTATAGTTTGCTGATGCATAACTGCAATTCTTTCTTCACAGGAAGTGCTGCAAATCGTTCATTTACATATTCATCCGTTACATCAGTCAATAATGTCGGCTTCCACATTGGTTTCTGATCTTTGTCGATCAGGAGAGCTCTGACGCCTGTAATTAAATTGCAATATTGATCCAAGAACAAGATTTGTATGGCTTGTTAAATATATTTTATCTTATTACCTTCGTAGAAATCATTTTTGTTGGTAGTACATATCAATCTATATTCGATCTTTAAACAATCCGCTAAGGATTTTCTTTTTCCTTCATCGATCGTCTTCTTGGTGATTTTGAGAGAAGACGGAGACATTTTGAGTAGCACGTCTATGTTCTTTTGTGCCCAGTCGGAATTATCTTTCTTTAGTCTTTATACAAAAAAAAATTATACATTATTGTATTAGAAATGAAAAAATATTAATTTGATATCTCTTTTACCTTTCAATTATCTCCTCAACGGATGGAGCGGAAAAACAACTTTCTATCTGCAATATATTAGGTGCCAAGCTGAATTCATAATTTAATTTCGGTTGATATTTGTTTAAAACTGATTCAATGTCAACTTCACGTAACGTTAATAAATCGCGTTTTAAATCCACGAGTCTCTCCGATGGTACAAAATGCGTCGCAATTCCAGCATGGAGAACATCGATTCCTTGATAAAATATATATTTAGAAATGTTTATAGGTATATACAGGGTCCGGCCGAATAATATGTACAATTGAACACAACGTGTTTCCTTATGAAAAAAATAAGAAAAAAATATAGAATACAATTTTTGGCTTAGTTGTCGAGAAAATTGAATTTGAAAATCTGTTGCGTATGCATGCAGCTGTTACAGCTAAGGTTCGTCGAGCGACATATATATATATATATATATATATATATAACGCGTATTGTGTTTATAAACAATACTTTATGTCGAACAATCAGTTTTCGTTCAAATATTACGACAATGAATTACACGAACAGCAAGTGTGTCGATATGATTCGGATTTTGAGAACCTATAATGATAATTTATCCGTTA